GTGTTGGAGTGGTTATGGAGTGAGACACAGTCAAGATCCATAATTAAAAAAAACATAAAATCCTGACCGAACAAGCTTGGGTAATAAATGAATTATTTGTGTTCCTGTGCAGGACAGTCAACTCTAACAGACCTCTCTCCACCCAGGAGGGGAACAAAATAACTGTTAAAGCAAAACCCTTCAAAAGGGAAGGGGACCACTTGGTGTTAGACTACCATCCTAACCAGATGGAAAAGCAATACAGCAAATTGTTTCATGCTACATGATCTTGGATAAGCTCTATTTTGTTCGATTGCGACTCTACCTTAGCTAAGCTGCTGAATTTCCAAAGCCTGTTGACTCTCTTTTATGGGATAAGATTTTCAGATCTTTAGCTTCGAATGTGTTAGCGAATTTAGTCAGTGTTTAAGGGTTTGCTGGTACAACTCGTTTGAGAGGCAAGAAGGTGGCAAGTTTCTTTTGGTAATTTAATTCTATAAATTATGTGGGTAGCAGACAGCAGGTAGCAGGTACTCGACCCATGTCTTGCTGTAAAAGTGTTACTGGGGGTTGAAACCTAAAACTGCCTATGGACAAAAACCTCCAATCTGGAGGCCTGTCGAGTACCGAGCTTTGGGTATTGACAAATTGGTCATTTTCTTCGTAGAGACTATATGATGGAGCACCCCCTCCCCTCCTCCGTCCGGAGGGTGTATGCACATACGGTACATAAATGTAACATAACTCAGGATAACTTTATTTAAACACGGCAAAATTCCTTCTGCTATACAATGCTAAAACACACTCAGTAACTAAGTCGGTATATATAAGAGCTAAAATTATAAGAGGATTACATTGAAATGTAAAAGAAGCTGCTTTTCAAGGATGCCATGTAAATTCAAAGCAAAACTGTGGCGACATATAGTTATTTCAGTTTTGAAATAATCTCTTAGAGTTGTTGATTGTCGCAAAGCTGATAAGCTGCTCCACAAATCGATTTCACTCACAGCTGTACAAAAAAAATTTCTCTAAGTAATAAGCAAGGGGTTGTGTAATAATCGCTAATAACTGTCTATTTTTGTGGTTAAGAAAGTGTTTCTAAAGATCAGATTATCGGATGTAACTAATGTTCAAAGTGAACTCAAAAATATTCCTAGCTCGGAAAACTTCGGTCATCCTCAGATACGATCAGATCCTTTTAAAAACTCCTGTCACTCTCAGTAAAAAAAATCACAACCGCGACTAGGTACTTTTGGGGGGCCTCGACCGATGAATCGATCGATATATCGGTTGATATATCGGTCAATACGCGACAGATACTCGATTTAGTACTGGTGGAGTATCGACCGATAGTCCACTTAATGTCGGTCGACTTATCGATCACGATACTATATCGGTCAACTATCGGTTATATATCGGTCGATTGTCGGTCAAGTGTCGGTCGATACTCGACCGATATATCGATCGAGTATCGACAAATGCACGCACGCCAGTTAAAAAATGCGTTCTTCTGCAGCATGTATATTTTGAAGATTGCAGGTTGCAGGTCGAAATGAGCTGTTCATTCGAATTGAAGTTGAATAAACTTCAATACAAAGGCTAACCGCAAGCAACCTAAGCTGATTTAGGCTAACCGGAGTGCTATGTCGGCTAACCGAGACTCAAAAGTTGATTTTTCAGGCTGCAACCTAGAACCTGCAAAATATACCTGCCAGTTCTTCTGGGCGAACTCGGGAGACCCGAAAAACGTCGATTTAAAACTCGTTTTCATTTTAAATCACCACTGGAGTACAAAGTTTATATCAATGAAAGTTTCTTGGTACATGAAATTTTTTGAAGGGCGTCAAAGGTATTTCGTCCTTCCTGAAATTTACAGTGTTTTCAATTGGCGGCGAGCGACTCGAAATCGTCTATGTTCTTCAAATAAGTTGTTTTTCGTTCGTCTCCAATATTTAAGTTCCCGGCGTAGCTAATCGAACGTTCGGTACTCGAACTCAATCCATAGATTGAGTTTGATTGATTAGGTAATAGAACATAATCGAACAAGGAAATTTTCTGTGAATTCGATTAACTTAAACGAACCCAATCGCACTCAATCCGGTGGATTGAGTTCAAATGGGTTCGGAAATCGAACAGAATCCATGAAACACGTTCGATTCCCGGCTCGGCAATTAGGAGATTAGATGCAATTGACCCGGGAATAGAGCGCAAATTCTGGTACAGCTACAAAGCCATCCTAACAGACACAAAATGTTGTCCTTCTTTTAATTATTGAGCGACCCAAACTGTCGCCACTATTCAATTACGCCAATTTTTTTTGTGAGTTTGGTTACATTCGATTACCGAACCAGTCGAACTCAATCCATGGATTGAGTTCGATTAAAATTCCGTTCGATTTTGTTCGATTAGCTACGCCGAGTTAAGTTATATTTTTTGATTCAAATTTTTGTTTTTATTTAGAGTAACAATTAGTTTTTTTCGTTAATCAGCTCTGAAACTAAATTTTTTTTTCGCAAACAATGTTTCATTTTTCACGGCTCGATAGAAATTGACCAGTATGCGAATTATGTCGAATATCGGTCGTTTCGCCTACAAGTCGATTCGCCTACATCGAATTCGTTTCGCCTACACGAAACTAACCTCGTTTTGAGTTGATAATTCAAAAGAATTTTTACTTTCAAACAAGGTTAGTTGGGCTAATTTAAATACACACAAAAGAATTTTAAATTGGTTTCCTCATTCTTTTTTCCGCGTCACGCTCGGCGGACTAACCGAAAGACGCAGTACTCGTAGTCTATGAAGGCAGCGTCGCCCCGAAGAGAGTATTTTCCTGTTTCGAGCACATTATTACAAAAACCATAGAAAATATATTTTTACTCTTGTCACGAAGACGTGCAATTTTTTCCATCGTGGTAATAATCAATCCCGTTCAAGAAGGTATCGGATATAAAGAATTCTTCAAAACGAGTCGCGAAATCACGTAGCGACGGACGCGAGGGTTTTCTTCTATCGCTCGCTTTTACGGCCTTTTCATTTAATTGGCAGAAAGAAAAAATAAAATGTCAGGGACCAGAGTAAGTAAACAGTAAAACAGCGCAACAATGGGAAAACGATAAGCTATCTCATACATATTGCTGAGCCTTGCTGTGTTCGCCTTTTAGATTTGCGCTGTACAGACGCAATTCTGTTTCCTTTTGGCCGTTTTTTCCTAATGCGTTACTCCCATGAATTTGTGATCGCTGATCTATCCCGTGTGCGAATATAGACATAACCAATCCAGCAGCAGCGCCACAAGGACGCATAGCAGGCATAGCCTGACATATGGCCGCGGCAAGAATTGTACAGATGGTTTTAAGTAGTCTTTCAAGAAGAATTGTGGAAAGAGGGCAATTCTTCCCTGAATCTTATCCAACTCCTTTGTAGCTTGCTCCAAATTATGATCAGCAACACCTGAAAGTGATGCCACTCCTTAAGTTCATCAAAGAGTATTTTCCTCAGCTAGTTCTAAAACGGTATCGTGGAAGGCGTTTGTCAATGGGTCTTCTACCTTGATATTTAGTGGTGTCGCAGTCGTTTCTGATAGAAGGCCAAGATGTTCTTTTAGTAAGTGACAACGTAAACTGTGAGAGAACTTTCCCACTTGGTAGGGTCTTCCATTCATCTTCCCTTCCATCATTTCCTTGTCTTGTATGATTACTGCTACTTCTGAGTCCCTGTCTCCAAGCATGCTGCGGTCATTGATGTTTGCTGACCCTATGATAGCCACTCGGTCATCAACAATCATCAGCTTACTATGCACATAAACAATCTCCGTCACAAGGTTCCCATTTAGAGACCCATGTCTCCGCAAACCATACACACTGAAGTAGTTAGGTATTGCTTCTGATGGAATTCCCTTTTCTTTCAGCCTGTTCATCAAACACTCTTTTCCCACGGTAGATGGTGGCATAAGTCTTGTTGCTCACAAATCTTAAATTAACGTCTGTGTCCCATTTCTCTGGAAACTCTGGCTTTAATGGTATGATGACCATTGCGCGGAAATCCTGACTTTCTTGATGAGCACGATAAATTCTGTCAGCCAACGTTGACATTACCTTATTGTACACATTCCCGTGAGATGAGATGAAAAATTGATTTTCGATGTAAATAAAATGCTCTGCATTCTCAATCGCGTGTAGATAAGCATTGTAGATAGAGGTTTCCTTTGGCTGACCGGCTGACCATTCGCCCACTGAACGGAGAACTTGTATCGTGAGATTCCTACCACTTGGATCTGAAATCTGATGAAGTTCAGTATTCAGTTGAATATCTTGAAAGCCGTAACGTGGCTTGAGATGTTTGTATCTCTCAATAAAGTGTGTGGCAACATCAAGAGCAGGAGGTCCAGAAACTGAGCAAGCCACATCATGCCATAGCATGCGAGGATCTTTACGTCTATCAACATCATCCTTCATCGGCTTATCCAGGTTAGTTCTTGCACCATGAAGGAAGGTGTTACCATAGTCCTTACCTATCCAGCGTGAATATTGCACTGTAGATTCCTGAGGAATTCTAGCATACTCATCACTCTCCAACACACAGCGATGAGGTGGAAAGGGATCTGTTAACAGGTGGCTGTGAGTATCCCATCGGCCAAAGCAAAGATCAATGCCCCCAACGAACGCTACACTTCGATCAACAACCACCACTTTCTCATGGTGACTCCACCGGAACATGGTGGAAGGATTAAGCAAGAGGGTACTCATATCTGGATGACGAAGAACCTCGATGTTATCATGACGCAGAGCAGTTTGTGCATATTCACTACCAAGGTCCATACCCGCGATTTTCGATTCCCAGTAGAGTAATATGTACGTGCGAACACCTTGCTCAGCTTTTCTCAGCAACATTTTATCCAGACGCCAAAGTAAACTATCGACTCCCAAGTCAGGCCTTTTCATGAAGATGTGTGGATTAAGTTGCCAGTCTGTGATGAAGATCTCCTTTTCCGCGGCTTCAATCGAATCAGCAACAGCTGCCATATAGTCCTGTCCGTCCACGTACCATTTCGCTTGACTTCCATTCCTTATTGGTGCAAACGAGCCAAAACGATGTTCGGCAGTCGACCCTGAAGCTCCCATTTACAGTTGTTCAAACATATGTGTACAGTCTACATAACAAAGTAATCTTATCAAGTTCAAGGATCGTTTTGACCAGCCGGCTTCGCTTGCTCAATTTTACATTGCCCCTGCCTTCAATTCAAGGTGGCCCTTAACTTGAGGCAAAAGGAGACGAGGGGAAAAAGCAACCTAGTTAGGAACCAGGTTGGGATCCAACGCCAGAATCAAGTTTGAAAAGGAACTGTCTTCAATTAAATTAAAGAGAAGGTTGGCCAACTTCCTTTGTTGGTTCAGAGGGCCAATAGCTAAAACCAGCCAATCAGATTGCTTCATTGCTGGTCCAATATTTTTCAAGTATTGGACAATGCACTGTACCGGATGATCACGCGAGATGACTGTGAAAGGGTTTTGGTTTTATGGCTCACTTTTTTAAAAAAGTAATAAGGTAACCCTGAGGTAAAAATCACTTTTCAACTGAGCAGGAAATGCCCACTTCTTGGCTGTTGTCGCCGACTCCCGCGGAGGCTGATCGTGTGGTCGCGCATGCCTAATTATAAGATAATCTTTTAAATTCATAATTGATTTCTATTCATAGAGTTTTTAATGTTTTCGCTTGATGATAGGGAATTGGGAGTTTTGTCCGAAGTTTGTTTTGCAAATAGGGCTATGCCCATTCCTGCACCTGGTTATTTTGTCCGATTTTGAAAACATCTGAAAGAAATTAATCATGATTATCCTGACGCTCTCAAATGAGTTTCCAACCGAGAAGTCAATCAAAAACCCCACTTGAGGCCGTTGCGGGTAAATGACTTTTCAATTAAAGAGACAGTGTCCCGTTTATGCGCACGTGCGAGCGTCATCTGTTTTTTCTTCAAAAGACATAACCGTCATATTGACTCGACAAGATTTCTTTCCGGACCCGGCAGTGTGCGTGTCGAGATTCCACCAATCAGAATGCGTCATTTGTAGAGTGATTTTCGCGCTTGGAAAGAGCTGTTTTCAGAGGTATATGTGGTAAAATTTTCGCTATATTCCAAGTTTGTGTAGATAATTTCGACACCATACCGCCGTGGAAAGATGTTGGAACACTTTATCTTGATAGCAGTTGCGTTAGTTTTAAATATTTTGCTTTCTTGAGCGTTTGTGACAAAATTGAATTGCTCGGTCATGTGCAAGCCGCCATGATGATTTGAGTGTTATTTTCGCCGTTCTTCTTGGATTCATTGCTGGTTACTGTTAGCGGTTTTATCGGATTATTTCGGTCAACTTGTTACTTCAACAACAAAGAACAAAGAATTCTTTAAAAGAAAGTGGATACTGACGCCTTATTTAAGTTAACTGCATTAACTCCGTATTATTTCATTGCCCTGTTGTACTTTTTATAATCTCTTTTAGCCCTGTATTAATTTAATAATTTAATTAATCTTGCTTTACTCTGTTAATATCTATTGTTAAAGTGTTTTTTTTTCTGTAGTATTGTAACTGTAATTATTTAATGTGATTATCAATAAATATATTAAAAAAAAAAAAAAAAACTTGTTACTTCAACCTTTCTTCTTTGTAAATTTTGGGGTCTACCTGGGTCTACCCCTGTTAGTTTCCCCGTTAAGAAGCGTTGAAAGTGCCGTGGAATGAAGAGATTGTCTCAGCCAAGTAGCACAACTCCCGGGAAACGTGCTGAGAAACTTGCCGAAGCGAAAGCCGACGTGAAGCGAGTATATAACGCAAAATCCAGGAAGAGTTTGTTTCATTTTAAAACAGAAATGGTAAAGAAGTTTGAATGTTGTGTTAACCTTTGGAAACAAAACATTTTTATAACCCAGTGCGGAAACTGAAAGCGTGTCTTTAGTGTGCTATGTGTATGCAAATCTTCATGTTAACTTACGCGAGGGAATAAATCTCTACCAAAACACAAAACCATTATCGAAGATCTGGACAACATCATACAGGATTTTAAAACTGTGAGGTTAGGTTTATAACAAAAATCGATACACTGCGCTCACTTTAATGAACGTACACACAAGATTGTGGTTTATTTCTGCGGCCGTAGCTTCGGTGAAATTCCCATTGTGATGTTGCAGTAGCTGTTCGGGTGCTACTTTTGGTCTGTTTTTCCCTTGCCTATAGAAGATTTATTTGCTCATAAGGATTACAAACTGTTAGTGTTTGCAAAATAATATAAAATTGTCGATGAAAATAAAATTGCTATGAGAGACGATGCAAGATTTCTCACCTTGCTCTTTGTTCGCGCTCCCCCTCCTTGCCCAGTTAATAAAGTCCATCAAACGTTACCTTCAAATGAACTAATATTTTATTTAAGCAAATCCAGGTATGAACTACAGATCTCTTTCACTCTTCTGAGATAGAAATATACATATAACCACAGCACTAAACAGTACCTAAAATCTCCTGAGAAGCAGGAAATCGCCGCCTAAAATCGCACCTTCGATCGTCTGTGAATCGCGATAAACTAATTGGAATTACCTTATGAAGCCAATAGCAAGCATCTAAGGCCAGCATGAGATCTTGAAAATTCTCCAAATCGCTCTCTTCCGTAACGTTTTTCAGAAAAGGAAGCAGTATTTTGATCCCGGGTTTTGATTTCTCTCTCTTACGAGATGTGAACTCGACCGTGTCACGATTGAAATGAGGCACATAAACAGTTTTACCCATGAACCTTTGTGGGTCGTGACGCCACAGGTACCCCAAGCTCGAAATATGAGCATCGGTATTGTTGCGTAACATTCAAAATATAAGGATTTGTGTGGGAAAAAAACCTATCGTTTCTCTAACCTACGAAAATGAAAGGATTTCAATAAAAAACAGCTTACCGTACTTAAAATGTGTGTTACGTCTCTCCTGTTTGGTCCAAGAGCCGATTTATGGCCGTTTTATGGGTTTTTATGTAAACGGTTTTTCTCTTTATAGACATTTTAGGCATCCAACTGATGAACAGTTACGACACGTAGATATGTTTTTAGCAACTACTATAATTCGCATTCTGTCCACTTTGAATAATTAACATTCATGTCCCCAAAGCTGTTCAAAAGACTGGCAGATACTGGCAGACAGGTTATCACATGGGTAGGCATGATCCGCGAACAACAGAGCAAAACAAATGTTAGGTAAAAGTTTGAAGTCGTTCAAACTTGATCCGACATTCCACTAATATCTATACAGTCTATTAAGGTGTTAGCACAAATTCATCGAAAGTTAAGATAAAGCTCGACTAACTGATGGACCGGTTAATTTAAGCAGGGTCTTAAAGACCATGCTTATTATTCCAACCCTCCCTCTTTGTCCCTCATCCCTTTTTGGAATTGCACACATTTTAGGCATCCTACTGATAAACTGTTACGACACGTAGATATATTTTTTAGCAACTACCATAATTTGCAGTCTGTCCACTTTGAGTTAAATTACCATTAATGTCGCCAAAGGTGTTCAAAAGACTGGCAGACATGTTGTCACATGGGTAGGCATGGTCCGCGAACAAGAGAGCAAAAGAAATGTTAGGTAAAAGTTTGAGGTCGTTGAAACTTTATCCAGCATTTATCCACTAATATCTACACAGTCCATTAAGGTGTAAGCACAAATTCATCGAACATTAAGATAAAGCTCGACTAACTGATGAATCCGTTAATTTATGCTGGACTTTGGAGACCATGCTTATTATCCCAGCCCTCCCTCTTTGTCCCTCGTCCCTTTTTGGACAAAAGCAGAGGTTAAAGTCTCTTACGTTTGCATCGAAAATACGTCGTTTAATATTGTGATATTAATCAACGGGGACAAAAGTATCGCGCTAACCGGATTACCTCAACTATATCTACAAATTTCCGCATCAGGATGAATTGTTACTTGGCAACCGAGCTTATTCTGTCGCGGAAGTTTTTTTTCTTTTTATGCTTAGTTTATCCAGAATTTCTGAAAATTTCTAATTTCCATTGAATATCAAATATTAAAAAATAATAATAATAAAAAAGATTCATTAGTCATCGCCGTGTTGTCATAAGGCTCAGAGGAGCCACTTCCCCTCAAAAGGTTTTGGCAAGGTTGACCGTTTCCAATCCACATGAAGTTTCACTATGAAGCTGCAATGTTATGAAAATCCCATGAAAATGTCATTAAAAACCCAGGAAAGCATTTTTCAGGGCCCTGAATACAGATATTTCATTTTCGTGGCCTATTTTTCAGGGCATGAATTTTCTATGAAAATATGCGGCTATAATTCTGAGAAAACAAATTTGTTTTCTGAGAATTATAACCGCAGTTGTTAACACTGGACCTTTACTAGATCTTCTGCTTGCTGTCAATGACGTGTTTTCAGTAATATATGCAAAATCGTTCACCACAGAACAATAAAACCAAACCTATTGCCACGAGGAAAATGGGATGATTTTTCATTCAAGATCTCAACCAGCAGCCAAAAAGTACGGGTTCTGGGGGGGGGGGGGGGGGGTCACAAACAGTGTTTATCCTTTATCCTTCATTTTGTCGCACACCATGTTTCCCTGTTTATTGTTATAGAAATATCTTTGAGTACACAATACAGTTGAGAGACAGTTACTCATTCACTATCTATAATGAAGGCCGAATCTTCCTCGATTTCCTTACTGCTCTTTTTGCTCCATTCCTACCTATGTACTTTGTTATTGTAACCTACAACTCTCTGTTTAACTTAAGTAAGCGCCATAAAACATACCCACAACGGAATGCAAAATCGTAAATGCCAAACTCCTTACACTATTTTTCCATTAGTGCACACACCGACCTCTCAATTTGTAGCTCAAAAATTCTCACAGGGTTAGTGTCGATCAGAGGTATCTCCGGTGTTAAGAGTCGGTTGATGTAGCTTCAATAAGTTAAAAGTCCCACAGTCAAGTAATTTCAGTACTGTTGAGGAATGTTCACAATCACCTTAA